TAATCACGCTCAGAATTTCAGACCACTGTTAAGGTTCCACATACGCCAAGGATGAGGTATATTACCACTGTCACACTTTCTCCTTTCCCCAAGCACCACCATTGTAAGCCCATGCCCTCCCCCCAACCCCTGTCTTTACTGTTGTGCTCCAGGAGATGATAGACTTCGACTGGAAATCCAGACTGCAAGTAGTATCCTTCTTTACACCCAATGCCTGATCAATAACAGAGAGTTCATCTTCACATTCCTTCTCACATATATACCCAGAATCATCGATATAAAAGTTCTCTATGATGTACAAACAAAGTTCCCCTATCAAAAATATACCATCATGCTTGTCAAGGCCAACAACACGTTCGCAGTTATATCTGAATCTTATCTTTTCAAGAGGTTCCAAATAAGGTCTTATTAAGTATTCACCATTATCATTCAGCTCCTTATCTGATTTATCCTCAGTAACCCTGAGTTCATCCATTTTACCAAAAGATGACTGCTTAGGAGATCCTGGTTCAGATCTTCCTTGCATGCTGTCTGTTATTGGGACAGATGCTGCACTGGACTTGCCACCAAAGTCAAGTGCAGAATGAAGACTTGCTTCATTTATACTACTAGCTCTATCATCATTCCAACCGTTTCTAACAGAATCTACATCTTTAACATCATCTGAATCTTTAAAAAATGATTCATCATACAGCTCACTGTCAATACCATTCTGTTTGTCACTGTCACTAAAAAGTTGGAAATATGGTTCAGATTCAGTATCGGATGCATCTGGACCATCATCATTCTTCGCTTTGGGTAGCTCAATCTCTCTTAGTTCCAATCCCCCATCGAGAACATTCTGAATGCTATCAATTTTTAACTTACAGCGTTCAACCTTTTTGCGCTTCCTGTATGGACCTTCAATGGGACAAAGCTGCCACTCAGGATCTTCAGGTGAAGAGGATTTGTGCATAGGAAATATTCCACGCTCATGCACAAGTTGTTGAAGATGGGTTTGCCACTCACTCTCAGCATGAAGGACCCATCCATACTTGTCTTGACGGACAACTCTCAACTCAGTAGACATTGCATCACGCACAACCTCAAGTGCGTACCTTCTTTCATTTACCTGCTCCCAGTGTCTTAGACTACTTTTGAAATATCTCGTAACCTTCTTCCCATTCCCGTTTACGACGACCCTCCATACCCTTAATTCTCACTCCAGGAAATTTGGCTGACCCAGCAATATACTGTACCCACATAATGGCAGCACATGCTCCATACTTATTACAATATGTTCAGAGCCCTGAAGGCACTCAAAGAAATCTGACAA